TATATATATATTACTTCATATTCTACATAATTTTTTCAAGAGAGATGAAAAAATATGATATAAAAACATTTTTTGTATCAGAGATGATCCAAAAGAAAATGAAATCAGGGGTAAAAGTAGGATAGAAATAAGAAAATGTATAGTTGTATGTGATGTAATTAAATGAAGAAGGGAGGAAATTATTTTTATTCTACTAAAATTTATTTTTACAAATTCTTGTGAAATGGAATGCAAGGATGACACAATTATTTGTTCAACATCAATTTGATTTATTTATAAATAAATTTGTATAATTTATTTATTACAATAAAGATAAATAATGGATCAAATTTAACATATCTATTTAATTTTATGAATGTTTAGTGGTACACTAGTTTTTCAAAATCTATTTGTATTTTTCCATAGATATGGGTAAACTTCTTTCTTAAATGATTTCGCTTCTCTTCACTCTCTAAATTAGAATCCTTGTTGTGTCGAGGAAATGTACTTGCAAAGGACACCTTAATACTCAAGTAAGACACACAATCGAAATAATAAATGTCAATAATAATGAACAATAATTTTACATCGATATATAATACTATTTATATTAATCGTTGATGGATCCAACTTACAATGGACCTTTGTTCGGGGTTATCAATTAGGTAATATACTATTGATCCATATTTTATTGTGATTAGTCTTAATTACCTTGATTATCTCTATGTGCGATGAACATTTGTTTGACATCTTCAAGTGTTGAATGACTTGAAAAGGTATCAATACTCGAGGTTACCAAACAAGTGTGAGCTATATGTGTTTAGGTATATTGATGCCCAAGGGTGTTGAACAGGTATGGACTATATGGAGTTAGGTGTCCCTGGTTATCAAAAGATGAGCCAACTAAAGTTTTCATTCGATGTCTTTGGTCGTTAGAGGGGTATAGGAATTCAAGGTCATTGAGAGCCACCTGATAACATAGATTTTTGATGACCTACGAGTTTATCCGATACACCATTAAATTATAATATGAATTATTTATTGGATTGAAATTTTAAAAGATTATTTTAATATAATGTAAAAATCTATGAATTTTAAAATTATATATAAGAATGTAATAATTTATAAGAAAAGAGGGGAGAGAGAGATAAATTGTTCCAAAAATAAAATTATTTAATTTTTAAAACATTATTTTTATGAATGAATTGGATATTCATCTATTAAAAAATTAATAATAAATGAATTAGATGACTTTTTTCTCTCTTTAAAATAGATAGAATGAATTGAATTTTTAAGTAATTTTTTAATAAATTAATAAAATACTTTTTATAAACCCTTTAAAAAATTATTCAATCTAATCATTTGTCACATCTAAAGAAATTCATGAAGATCAAAGTTGTTAATCAGTAGTGGTACAATACTTGATCGACTTATTAACTTTGTTTTCTAATAATAAAACATTTAAATAAATAAATAAATAAAATTTTATATTAAAAAATCCTTAATTTTTTTTGTTTATTCCCTAAACTTAAAAAACTTGTAATTAAGTTATGTAAAAAAATTGCCATTAATTACTTTATCTTTAAAAAAAATGTATTTAAGTCTTTGAAGTGAATTTATGGTTTTTTGAAGTCACCACAAAAAGAACAATTTGTGACACTTTTATTAATTTAAGGGATCTAATTACAAAAGTTATATATATATATATATATATATATAAAGTTTGACTCTAAATCATTTTTTAAAGATAATATCATATTTATTTTAGATTTGTTAAAAGGGTCATCTATCATTTATATACGTACTAAACTCAATATTATGTGAGGAGGTTTATTGAAAAAAGTTCAAATTTCACCTACTCTAGATTGTTAAAAATGGTTGTCCACCATTTGCTCATACACCAAACACAATAGTGTTGAATGTGAGAGTATGTATTCAAAAAAACTCAAGTCTCATATTAACTAGAGATAATATAAACAAATAATATATAAGTAGGAGACAATCTTTACCAAACAAGTAAGTTTGTATGGTTGAATTATACTTCAAATCACTTTCTTAAGTAATCTAATTACAAATTCTAGTTTACATCATCTTCATAATCAACTTAATAATTCAAAACAACACAAATAATCAACTCATTAGATAAACTTCACAACATTTTATATAATTCAACAACTTTACAACTCAACAACTTGATAATATATTATACAACTCATCAACATATCAACAAAATAACATGTCAACACAACGTCTTCACAAACACTACAACTTTATGTATCATCACACATTTCAATTAGGAGATTCCTTACAACACAGGTGAATAATCTGAGTGGTTTGACCTTACCGAATCAACACAATATGACCTTTTTATCTTGTTAGGTTAATAACAAAGTTGGATATTAATTCATTTTCAACAGATGATTTTTTGAATTTTGCTACTTACATTAAGAAAGTCAAGTACCATTATTAGGAATAGAACAATTTGAGTATGGGTCTACCACGATATTAGTATACATCAACTAAGCTTGTATGAAATTAACCTGTCAACTACCTTTCAAATATTGTGCACTTTTCCAACAATCAGTTAACAATTTTATCCCTTGACTTTATACCTTACTTAGTTTGGTCATTTATAAACCAATACAACTCGACTTTGCTCTTATACGATATCAACTAAAGACTTAGAGAAAACTCAACACTCCACTTCAAGTGGGAACAAACTTAAGAAAGGTTTTTCAACATTTGGACTTTCAAAGCATCACAACACATTCACAAAATGAGATATTTCAACTTTTAAAAATAACATCTCTCCTTTAATTTTATGTTAACAACATAGCTCAACACAACAACATGCAA